CCCCCGCCATTCCTCCCCGCTCCCTCTCGCCCTCCCCCTGCCCTTCCTGCCCCCTATACTAAAAAAAAATTCTTCACCCTCAAAAAAAATTTAAAAAAAAACATAAAACCCCCGGTAAAATCCAAAAAATCTCCCAAAAAAGCACAAAAGAAATTTCTCCTTCATCCTCAGCAGTTGCCCCCCCTGTCCCCCTCCCCCTCCCGCCATATCCGGCATTTGTGCACGATCCAGTGCCGTGTTACTCGCCCATGAAGACAGTTTCCTCGTTTCGTGCGCCGTTACTCCGACACCAGGTGGTTTTCCAGTGAAAAAAATCCTCAAATTCACCCCATCGGCATCACTAAATCCGCCCGCAGTCCCCGTGAGCCCCCAAGAATCCCCCAGTGTACCACAATAGCCCCGAAAAGCGTCGCGAATCGACTGAAAAAAGCGCGCAATCATGTGTTGGACGTGAGACAACCTAAAAGCCCTTTAAAAAACAAAAGTGCAGCTGTAGAAGCGTTTGGGCCCCCGAAATGTCGTGCACGAGGGGTTTCCACCCTGTCTGACACCCCCTGGGGCACTTCGTGAAGTTTAAATAATAGACTGGGGGCAGAACGGCACGGTCGAAGGTGGGTATGATGTAAATTTCGTGCAGAACGGTGTCGGCTGTGTCGAGAGGGCTTTGGTTGGTTGATTTTAACCAGTCGCTTGGCTCTCGTGCCTGCCCGAGAGAAGCGTTAGAGCGTCGTCACGCAATTGGGGGTATCTCAGGTTGTTTGGGAGTTACAAGTGTCCTGGTTATTTAGTGGTAAATTCGTCGACAATGCCGTGGCTGAGGAAAAAACCGTTTCAACGACTTCACGTTTCCTCTGACTACAGGGACGATGATGAGGTTTTTCATTGTGAAGTTACTAATGAAGTTTTTAAGGATTACAATGAGTACTGCGAGAGAATCATACTGTGCAACTCCACCATTTGGTCGTGCAGTATCACGGGGAAGACTAATATGACGTATGAGGAGGCACTCGCTTGCGAGGAGAATGCTAAGGCCAGTCTCAAGGAGTTCCCCATGGAGGTAATTTTTGGGGGTTGATTGGGCTTTCGGGTTTTGTTCGGGGGTGGGGAACGAGAGGGGCTGGGGGTTTTGATGATTAGAGAATGGCGAGAATCGAAATCGTTAGAGGGAAATTGAAGAGTTTTTCGGCTTTTTTGAGATATTTCACGGACGAAAAAATTTAATATTAACCTTTCGAATTCTTAGGAAATTTTATTGAATTTCTGTTGAACTGTTCTATTAGTTTTTGGTTGGTTCTAGTGAAGTGTTGAAATATTCAGGAGAAAAAACCAATAGAATTCAATTTTTCTATACAACTTATTCTTTGAGATATTTTCTGTAGAGTTTCCTCGGCTCAAATTTTCCAAGTTTTTTCATTTGATTTTCTTGATGAGAAGAAAATAATAGAATGAAAAAAACTTGGAAAATTTGAGTCGAGCAATTTCTATGGGAAATATATGAAAAGAATAAGTTATATAGAAGAATAGAATTCTGTTGACTTTTTCTATTAAATGTTCTCTACTGAACATGTCAATAGAATCAGCCAAAAACTAATAGAAAGTTTGATAGGAATTCAATAGAATTTTCTAACGAATTCGATAGGTTTTTCTATTAAATTTTTTCGTGCGTGTTTTGAAGCTTTATGATGATTACTCATTTCTTTTTTAATTCTCTTCTATTAGTGGAGATCATTTCGGATTATAAAATGAAAAAAACAAGCAAGATCACATTCGAAAGATAATCCACCCTGGCCTTAAAATGAGAGATTATTTACTTGAATTGTAGTGATTCGTCAGGGGATATTGAGGGTTTGAGGTCGATTTTAACTTTCTTTATTGGTGTCTTTTACTGGAAAAAGAGAGAGGAGCAGAAAAAATGCAAGAATGGTTTTTGTAATGTTTGTGCTTGGATTTATTTCAGGTTTGTCGGGGGATTTTGAGTATTTTTATGTGGCTCCCGGGTTTTATCTGCTCTAGATCAAGAACGAAATGGGCAGGGAAATCAGTGGAGTTCAAATGACGAAAAGATGTCGATGAGAAATGAAATCGATTTTGAAATTGAAGATTTTTTCTTATTTTTGAAGACATTTTTCCAGAGTTAAAATGAGAGATTATTTATTTCAATTGTATTGTTCAGTCTCAGGGGATATTGAGGGTTTTAGGAGATCGATTTTTAATTTCTTTATTGGGCTCTTCTACTAGAAGAAGAAAAAGAAAAAAAAAGTACAAGAACAATTTTAAATTTTTGACATCAATTCATGACTTTACGTTGGGATTTAATTCTTTGGTTTTAGCATTATTAAACGAGAATGAACTAAAATGAACAATTTTCAATCGGTTTCAGCTGAGAATTCCCATTTTGTATCTGGCGAGCAAAACCAACAGAAGTTCGTTCAATGAAATGATAGAGGATGTGTATCAGTACGCGAGAGACAGGTATTTCATTGGGGAAATGGTGGAGGCAAGCTTCACGGAGGACTCTTGGTGTGAGTGCCATGTGCTCCAGGTTATTGAACCCACTGACGAACAGATCAAGGCGTATTTCAAGGAGAATCCGAAGTACGTAGCAATTTATTTAATATTGTTTCAAACAAGTTCATTATTTTTCATTAATAAATATTCTTCACTCATTCGGGCTTACAGAACTCAAATTAAATCAATATTTGCATCTATTTTCTATTATATTTCACTATTCGATCATTTTAATTATCATTAAATACATTTTATTTTTCCTGAAGACAGAAGTAAAATTTTAAAAAACTGCAGAAGTCGTGAATCAATTATTACAACAGACTTTCTCCCTTTGAATTCTTGGAGGAGAAATTATCACGACATTTTGTCGTAATTGTTGCGGTTTTAATCAGATTTTAATGATCAAACACAGGTGGTGAACAGTGATGATTGTCGAGTTTTTTTAATAGAAATATTCATTGGCTATTATTCTATAAAAAAAATCAATCAAAAATCACTGTTCAACTTCAATTTGATAACAATTCTATTGGATTTCTATTTTTCTTGCCGATTTTACTGCCCATCTGTGCGTTTTTTCAATAGAAATATTCATTGGCTATTATTCTATAAAAAAAATCAATCAAAAATCACTGTTCAACTTCAATTTGATAACAATTAAATTGGATTTCTATTTTTCTTATCGATTTTACTGCCCATCTGTGCGTTTTTTCAATAGAAATATTCATTGGCTATTATTCTATAAAAAATCAATCAAAAATCAATTTTCGACTTCGATTTGATAAAAATTCTATTGGCATTCTATTTCTCTTTCTGATTTTATTGCCCATTTGCGCGTTTTTTCAATAGAAATATTCACTGGATATTATTCTATAAAAAAAATCAATCAAAAATCACTTTTCAACTTCAATTTGATAACAATTCTGTTGGATTTCTATTTTTCTTGCCGATTTTACTGCCCATCTGCGCTTTTTTTCAGTAGAAATATTCACTGGCTATTATTCTATAAAAAATCAATCAAAAATCACTTTTCAACTTCAATTTGATAACAATTCTATTGGATTTCTATTTTTCTTGCCGATTTTACTGTCCACTGCGCTTTTTTCAATAGAAATATTCACTGGCTATTATTCTATAAAAAATCAATCAAAAATCAATTTTCGACTTCGATTTGATAACAATTCTATTGGATTTCTATTTTTCTTGCCGATTTTACTGTCCACTGCGCTTTTTTCAATAGAAATATTCACTGACTATTATTTTACAAAAAAAAATCAATCAAAAATCACTTTTCAACTTCAATTTGATAAAAATTCTATTGGATTTCTATTTTTCTTGCCGATTTTACTGCCCATCTGCGCTTTTTTTCAATAGAAATATTCACTGGCTATTATTCTATAAAAAATCAATCAAAAATCACTTTTCAACTTCAATTTGATAACAATTCTATTGGTTTTCTATTTCTCTTTCTGATTTTATTGCTTATCTGCGCGTTTTTTCAATAGAAATATTCATTGGCTATTATTCTATAAAAAAAAATCAATCAAAAATCAATTTTCGACTTCGATTTGATAACAATTCTATTGGATTTCTATTTTTCTTGCCGATTTTACTGTCCACTGCGCTTTTTTCAATAGAAATATTCACTGACTATTATTTTACAAAAAAAAATCAATCAAAAATCACTTTTCAACTTCAATTTGATAAAAATTCTATTGGATTTCTATTTTTCTTGCCGATTTTACTGCCCATCTGCGCTTTTTTTCAATAGAAATATTCACTGGCTATTATTCTATAAAAAATCAATCAAAAATCACTTTTCAACGTCAATTTGATAACAATTCTATTGGTTTTCTATTTCTCTTCCTGATTTTATTGCTTATCTGCGCGTTTTTTCAATAGAAATATTCATTGGCTATTATTCTATAGAAAAAATCAATCAAAAATCACTTTTCAACGTCAATTTGATAACAATTCTATTGGATTTCTATTTTTCTTGCCGATTTTACTGTCCACTGCGCGTTTTTTCAATAGAAATATTCACTGGCTATTATTCTACAAAAAAAATCAATCAAAAATCACTTTTCAACTTCAATTTGATAAAAATTCTTCACCTAAAATTGCCCACCGCTTCTGTTCGAATTTTTCAATGAAAAGAGAAGAAACCTGTAATGAATTCCTAGAAAATGTCTCTATAAAAACACTTCTGAAATAATTTCCATTGGACATTTTTAATTGCGAACACTACACCTTCGAAATTATTCCATAAAATGAGCCAAAGACAAATCCCTCTCTCCCAAATGCAATGAAACAATCAAAACAATCAAGCGGGGATTGTCGACTAAATTTCGTGGTTAGCGAGCCCGAAACTAAAAAAATTCTCCATTCTCCCTTCTCTCCTAGACAACCCTCGCATGAGCGTCACTACCACCCCCCAGCCAAGCTCTTCCGCTACGAGGTGGAGCAGCTGGACTGCGGCGAGAGTGACGTGAGCCAGCTGATGATAGTCGAAGCCTCCCAGATCCGCCGAAAGAAGCAGCTCTACTCCCGCGAGCGCAACAAGATCTTCCTCCGAATGTTGTGCCACCAGGCGCCGAGTGGCACCTGGATCGTGAAAGACGAGATCCAGCAGAAGTACGGAATTCCCAAGGTCCGTTTCGACTCCATTTTCGCCGGGCCGATGGCAGACTTCTCGAGCCTGCCAAAGCGTCCAGTGATGATGAAGCAGAAGCAGGGGACCCTGGACAAATTCCTGACGTCGAGCCCTTCCAAGTCCACCCAGGACGCCTTCAAGCCCTCGAAGCCAGTGGAGAACAACCACATCGTGAAGAAGAGGGGCCCCAAGGGGCCGAGGTTGAACGGCAAGTACAAGGAGGACCAGAAGGCCAGGGCTGAGGAGCAGAAGGCGAAGAAGAAGGAGGAACGCCTCCTCAAGCGAGAGAAGAAGAAGGAGGAGAGGCTCAAGTTGGCCGCCTTCTCGGCGTACCTCAGGGACTGGCAGAAGCCTCGGGAGGACCTCGAGTGCGAGGACCTCAGGCCCATCCCAGAGCCAACCCCAGTCAACTGCAGCATTCCTGACGACAACTTCGGGGACTTCGTCATGATCATGGAGTTTCTGCACTTCTTCCACGAGGAGCTCGAGGTCTCCGCGTACTTCCCTGGGGGAGTGGGCTTCGACGTCCTGGAGAAGGCTCTGCTGGTGAAGGAGACGTCCGGCCCCTGGTCGGACCTGCTGCAGCTGCTCCTGGCCAACATCTTCAAGCACCAGGCCGAGGAGGAGGACGAGATCCACGAGGCGAACTCGGCTGAGGGACTGCCTGAGGCCTCCATGGATCATGGGGTGTCTTCCATGGCTGAAGCTGTCAAGCTGGCCACTCTGGCGTCGACCTGGTCCCAGACACATCAGGGGTGTCAGCTGTCGGAGGTCGCGCTCGATCATGTCACTGTTAGTGAGATACTCAGGCAGCATCTGCTGTCGTCTGGCGGCAGGATCAGCGAGGTCGCCTCCAAGTGGAGGTACTCGCAGAGGGGGGGGTATACTAATCATGATGATCCCGCTTTGGCTCTCAGGATCATGCAGGCGAGGATCCTCAGGACGCTTGGACACAGGTCTGTTGGGACTCGTTTGTTTATTTATTGCCATTTCCGGCTGCGCAATTAGATTAATTTAATTTTTGGCATTCTTGTTGTTATTTTTTTTCCGGAATTCACAAGTTACAACGTTGAATGGAGAGAAATTATGATGAAGATCAATGAAAAGTGTTTTTTTTTTGGACACAGATCTGTCGGGATCATTTATCTTATTATTTATTTATTTAGTTATTTATTTCCATTTCCGTCTGCGCAATTGGATTAATTTAATTTTTGGCATTCTTGTTATTATTTTTTTTCCGTTATTCACTAGTTACAACGTTGAATGGAGAGAAATTATGGTGAAGATCAACCAAAAGTGTTTTTTTGGACACAGATCTGTCGGGATCATTTATCTTATTATTTATTTATTTAGTTATTTGTTTCCATTTCCGTCTGCGCAATTGGATTAGTTTAATTTTTGGCATTCTTGTTGTTATTATTTTTTTTCCGTTATTCACTAGTTACAACGTTGAATGGAGAGAAATTATGATGAAGATCAATGAAAAGTGTTTTTTTTTTTGGACACAGATCTGTTGGGATTCATTTATCTTATTATTTATTTATTTAGTTATTTATTTCCATTTCCGTCTGCGCAATTAGATTAGTTTAATTTTTGGCATTCTTGTTGTTATTATTTTTTTTCCGTTATTCACTAGTTACGACGTTGAATGGAGAGAAATTATGATGAAGATCAATCAAAAGTGTTTTTTTTTTGGATACAGATCTGTCGGGATCATTTATCTTGTTATTTATTTATTTATTTAGTTATTTATTTCCATTTCCGTCTGCGCAATTGGATTAATTTAATTTTTGGCATTCTTGTTATTATTTTTTTTCCGTTATTCACTAGTTACGACGTTGAATGGAGAGAAATTATGGTGAAGATCAATCAAAAGTGTTTTTTTTTTGGATACAGATCTGTCGGGATCATTTATCTTGTTATTTATTTATTTATTTAGTTATTTATTTCCATTTCCGTCTGCGCAATTGGATTAATTTAATTTTTGGCATTCTTGTTATTATTTTTTTTCCGTTATTCACTAGTTACAACGTTTCGAAATCGCATTCGGGTAATAGAAAAATGGAGAAAAATCTCCATGATTTGTTTCGAATAAAAAAATTCGATTTTCATTCTTGTCTTTTGATAGAATGAATTGAATAAATGACAGAAATTGAGAATAGGAGACTGAAAATTTTATCGGATTATTATTATATTACGAGGATTTTTTATGAATAATTTATAAACAATCAATTTTTCATCATAAAAATCATTTGTTCGGAATCGTAACAAATTTATTCATATTCAGAATTTTACCAGAAGTCCATTTCACGTCTAAAAAAACAGAATTTCCAAAAGTTTAAACAATTTCAATTATTAATTTATAAACAACAGATTTTTTTTTTAAATACTAATTCTGTGCAATAAATTTGATGATTGAAAGCTGTAAAAGACGCTTGAATATCCTTAAATTGAATTTCATTCCAACAATTGGCCAAAAAAATGGGAAAAAATTAAGTCAACAAATAAAATTTTTTTCAGGTCTGTCTGTGAGTTTGAACTCCAGGACAGGCTGATCGTGGCGACTTGTCTGATAAATCAGCTCCTGACTTTCGCCTCAATCAGAGATGTTATCGAAGAGAGATATGACAAGTTGCACCAGGCGAGGAGGGAGTTGAAGTCGTTCATTGTGGCTGAACAGAAGAAAGAGAAGGAGGAGAGGGAGAAGATGAAGGAGGAGAGGGAGAGGCTGAAGGAGGAGAGGGAGAGTGGGAAGCTCATCGATGAGATCGATGAGAGGCCCAAGAAGACGAGGGGCAGCAGGGAGGAGGAGAAGAAGAGGGAGGAGTACGAGGGGAGACTGGGGGAGCTCAGGCAAGCCGCTAAGGACGATGGGATGATGCTACTTCTGGGGATGGACAGGGCCTTCAGGAGGTATTGGCGGCTGCTGTCGGTGCCTGGGATCTTTGTCGAGGATAATGAGGAACATCCGGGGGCGTGCATCGAGGGGGGGACTAATTACATGCCGGAACTGCAGGATAAAGCTGCTGCTGAGGTTTGCACTCCAATTTTCATCATTTTTCAGAGAAAACTTTCAGTATTTCCGAAACTATTCGGTTTATCAAAAAATGCCATAAGAGATTTTCTGTGGAGAATTCAATTGCCTAAAAAAAGTTTCTCTGACATTTTTTGATAAATTCATTAATTTGAAAGATATCACGAGGTTTTGGCAAGATGAAAAAGATTTTCTCCACACTCAACAATTTTTTTTCAATAAACGCCTAGTATCTCTAAAATTCTTGGGTTTACCGAAAAATGTCCGAGAATCTTTTTTGTGGGGAAATTAATTTCCTACAAAAAGTTCCTTTGATATTTTTCGTTAGACTCATTAGTTCGTGAGATATTTCAAGTTTTTCAAAGGATAAAAACAAGACAAATGAGTATTTCCTTCACAAAATTACAGTTACGAATTTGAAAAATCAATTATTAAAAAATGCAATGAAAATTCTTCTAGATATACCTCAGGAGTAAATTCGAGGATGAAAAAAGTGACAACAAGGAGAACGATTTCAACAAATCAAAGAAGAAGAAAACCGTGAGTTTCGACAAAAAAGACAAAAACGGTTTAAAGTCCCCCCGAAAGGACTCAGACATCAGAAGAGCTCTGCTGGCGTGCACAGGTGACAAAGACTGTCCGGTGCACCAGTCGAGTAGTCGTTCCAAGTGGAGTTTCTTCGGTCGTCAGGAGGAGATCGAGGCCCTCATCACTGGGCTCTCGATCCGAGGAATTCGAGAGGGCGAGCTGCGAAACAACCTCATCCAGGAGAGCGAGAGCATCTCCATGGCGCTGACCAACTGTCCCAAACACAAGCTGAACCCCGAGGTGTTTTCCCCCTCGAACAACAACAACTCCACCAACAAATCGCGAAAATCAAAGCAGGAGAACACGAACCTCAATTTCCCTCCAGACGTTCCCACAGATGAGGTTCTGGAATTGACCCTGAAGGACTACGTTCTGGATCTTGAGGACAAGCTGAAGGCTGGGTGCCTGGGGTCACTGAAGGTGATTGATTGATCGAAGGATTCTATTGATTTTTTAGAATTTAAATAATTCCCTGAGGCTAATGAGCCCAATTATGGGCATAAAATTCATAACACGTACAAAAAAATAAGGGAATTCTATTTAATTTCCACTGAAATTCTATGAGAATTATTTTCAGGAGTAGCCATATTCATAAATTATAATTACCGTTAAATTTTGAAGTAGTTTGTTAATATCACTCTTAAGTTTTTAATTATTGAAGTAATCATCAATTTAAATATTCAAATTCCGAATTATGTGGTTAATCGAAAATCCCTTTTACGAAATTAGTATTATTCACTTGATAGAAAATTTACAGTTCCATATTATCAATTATATTCAATTCATCATCAATCGGAAAATTAGAATATCAGTTATTTACACCTGCGGTTTTCTGTAAATTTTTCTTCATAACTTAATCCACTGGTATTATTTCCATAAAAATTCAAGAAGAATCAAAATTTATTGACTCACACTATCAAATATTAGTTAACAAAATGGTAGTGTCTTCAGTAGAATTTCCCCAAAAAACAAATTTAATTTTTAATGGAAATGCAATAAAAATTGAGTGAAATTCCCAAAAAAATATTTGGGTTTCTCCATCGAATTGTTTTCCATTAAAATGCACTCCCTTTACTAATATTTTTTTACTCTAGGTGAAGGACAGGGACGTCTGGAGGAAGGAGGTGGGTACGAGTGGAGTGGACCCCCCCGTATTGCCGACAACGGTCGACAAAATAAAAAATGAGAGCAGGAACAGTCGCCCTGGAACTCCGGACTCAGAGTTGGGCGTAGGTGGCAAGACCTACAGGGATCCTGGCAAGTACCTGGGGCCCCCTGGCGACGACGAGGTGCTGCCGGACGTGCGACAGCAGACGAACATCAGGCAGATGGCGTGGGTCATTCTCCAGCTGTTCCACGCTGTCGAGCCCAAGTACCTGAAGCGTCCCCTGGGGAATGACGAGAAGGACAAGAAGTACTCGTGCGAGGAGATGAGGGACAAGTGGGAGCAGTCACTCCTGGCCTCCACCAGCTGGTCCCAGCTGTTCTTACACCTCAATACTCTGGAGGGAAGTGTCGCCTGGGGGAAGAGTGCCCTCAACGCTCGCTGCAGAATCTGCAGGAAGTGCAAGGACGCTGAACACATGCTCCTCTGCGATGGCTGCAATAAGGGACAGCATCTCTACTGTCTCAAACCCAAACTCAACAGTGTCCCTGAGGGCGACTGGTTCTGCAGCACTTGCAAACCGAAGGAGGCCAAGCCCAAGGCCAAGGCCAGGAAGAGGAAGATGTTCGAGGATGAGGAGGAGGAGGACATCACCAAAGACGAGGAGGTGGAGGTGAAGGGCGAGGACGAGGAGATCAGTGATCATCATTTTGTCAAGGTCAAGAAGATTGAGACTTGCAGCCAGTGCAACAGCTCTGGCAGCCTCTTTGGGTGCGATATCTGTAATAAACTGTTTCATTTGGATTGCGTGGAACCACCCATGTCCAGGGCACCCAGGGGGCGCTGGCTGTGCCATGAGTGCAAGAATCTGAAGAAGAATGCTACGAAATTCGGTAGGTCTGGGGGAATTTAGGTCTCTGTAAAAAAGGATTTTTCAGGAAAGAATTTCTGGATGCAGGAAGAAGGGTTTTTCCCTTTTGGAAAAACGTGAAATATAATTGGAACTAAGCAGTTTAGAGGAAAATGTCAGAGAACTTTTTTATGGGGAATTAAATTTTCAATGAAAAAGTCCTCTGACATTTTTTTGTTAATCCATTGGTTGGGAATATACTGCAGGTTTTGTTGGGAGAATTTTTTAGTGCAGTGAAGAGTGATTTTTTTGAGAGAACTTTCAATATCTTTGAAACTAGTGGATTCACAGAAAAACGTGTCATGAACTTTTTGTAGAGAATTAAATTTCCCATAAAAAAGTCTAGTGACATTTTTTAATAAATCGATTAGTTTTCAAGATATTGCAGAATTTGCAGTAGAGAAAAAACGAAAATAAAAATTTTCAATTTTTTCTTTTAATTCCTTCTCTCAATTTCTTATAATTTGAGAGATTCATGTAGTCGGAAGCAAGTAGGATAGTCCATTGGGATTAGTGAACAGGATTTTTAGTTTTTTTGGATGAAATATTGTTTGTCAGTGAAAGGCCGCGAGCGTGAAAGGGAAACGGAGAGGCAGTGCGCAGCAGCTGCACGATCCCGGATCCACGGTTTCGCCAAGAGCCTCCTCAGTACAGAATCCTCCAACTGGTGGGACGGTCTGTATCTTTAAGCGCAGGGAGATAATAGTCCATTACCATCCCACCATTAGTCGCTTTTGTAATAATTCTAGTTTTTCGAGTTTTTTTTTTCTCATTTGGGATCTGGCTTGATGTTGACACTGTCCTTGAGCATTGCTGCATTGAACATTAATCGTCTAGCAGGAGTTCAGAATAACCTTGTATTATTGGTTGTTATTAATATTGCTGGGGTGAAGAGGAAAAAACTTCAGAGTCAATTTTCCCAATTTTTATAAATCAGGCACTTATAAATAACGAATTATCCAGGTAACGAAGGGGTCTACGGGAAAATGTCATAGAACATTTTTTGTAGAGAATTCAATTCCCTACAAAAAATCTTTCATGACATTTTCCATGAAATCCACTCGTTATCGAGATAATCCAAGAATTGATTGAAAAAACTATTTTCTCAGGATTTTTTTCCACTTCACAACTGTTTTCACTTCAGGCATTTGATCCTCACGCTTCTAATCACTCCTAAGAGAACACCGAGAGGAGTTATCACCCCCCGAAATCATCTCAATTTGATGAAACAATTTTTTCAATAGATGGAAGCACATCTGAAGAGGTGGAGCAGAGACAGACTCGTAGAGCAACGAAGAGGGCAGCTGCTGTTCAAGACAAGACACTTCATGATCTTCTGAACGATGTAATGCATCACAGGGACTCCTGGCCGTTCTTGTCACCCGTTAGGACTGACGAAGTACCTGATTACTACGAGTTTATCAAGAAACCCATGGACTTTGGCACAATCAAGAGCAAACTTGAGGCTGGAGTCTACGAGCATGATTCACACCTATTCTTCACTGAATGTCTACTTATATTCGACAATTGTCACACGTACAACGCTGATCACAGCGCTGTCTACAAGTGAGTTGATGGCTCTCTGGGTGGGGGGAGGGGGAGGGGAGGTCAGGTTCGGATGCCAGAGATTTTTACATTTTTCTCTTGGGATCTTCCTGGATCTCTCGATTTTTTTGAATCGATTTTGAGAGAATTTGCATGACATTGACGACGTGAGGCGCCTGGATTTGGAGGAGAGATTTGTGGGGAGGGGATTTTTGAGAGAGTGAGGTGAGGGGATTTGAATCCACAACCTTCAGATTACAATAAGGGATTTGGTATTTGGAAATTCAGTAGCGAAGTGGTCAAACGGTTTAAGTCGATTTTGGCTATTGGCCGGTTTTTCATGAATATCTCGAAATCTAGGGGAGATAGCAAAATTTTTCTCATTACCTTTTTAGTAGCACTTAATGCGCTCTACAAAAAAGGTTATTATGAAAATTTCGCTATCTCCCTTAAATTCGGAAATATTTCTGGAAAACTTGACTAAATACTAAATTAACTTAAACCATTTGACCACTTCGCTACCGAATTTATTTCAGTTGTCATGTTTGATAACTCAAAACTACCAATTAGTTATGAATATTACAAACAGCAATTCAAATAGTATTTTATCTAGCTCTGGTGTTGGAGTAGAACAAGTAAATTTTAGAAGATGATCATTTGGAGTTTTGACGAGTATTTTGGAATTTGAAGAAGACGAAATTATTGTCATGAAGTATTATTTAGAAACTCTCAAGTTGATTATTTTGAGTTATTAAATAGTATTCATGCACTTCCATTCTCAATCTACCATTCATTAAACTCAAAAATGACAAACTCGAATTTCTCCCATTCAGATTTCCAAAAATCATTTCACTTCTCATGTTTGAAGGTTCCAAAATCCCAAACAATTGGATTAATTCACCCTATTCTACCCCGTGATCACCAGACCTGGTAATTATTCCCCAAAAATCAAATGGAAATAGATTTCCAAAAAGTCAAAAATCATAAAGCCCTAATGAATCTCTCCAACAAATCCAAAAGAACGAATCTTTGGCCTCCGAACGATTGAATTCGTTCGCCGGAAGCAACAGTGGTGCACCCCCTCAAATAACAGTTACGTTTACAGAGCCGGAATGCGACTCTCCAAGTACTTCGAGAAGAAAGCTCGAGAGATGGGCTTCAACTACGACGAGGAGACCCTCCGACCACCGCCTTCCAAGAAATTCAAGGACGATCCAGCCCAGAAATCCTCCCCCAATGGAGACCTGGAGCCCAATGGCGAGAGTTGAGGGAACTGCACTCTAAAAATAAATTCACACTCGACTCGTGCCCTATATTTTTCACAAAAAAATGAATCGAAAAAATTCTGATAGATCCGAGACACTTGTACTTTATTTTAGTATAAAAGAATGATCAGCAAAATACTGGTGTGTGTTTTTCACATTCCTGACATTATCGAATACTCACGAGTGTCTGATGGCGCCTGCGCCCAGTATTAAATATTATACTGAATATTTTTTATGTCGAGGAGGAAAATTACGGGAGCCAGTACAACACTAATGTTCTGAGTGGATATTTAGTTGAGCAATTTTTTCCCCTTTTCATTTCATGGTTATTTAGGAGATGAACATATTCTCATTTTTTTTCTTATTTATTGTACGGATTTTCTGCCTTGAGAGGATTTGGTTCCACTGAGAGGTGTTTTAACGAGTAAATTCATTGAAAATAAATTGTAATTAATTCTGGTAATGTTGAGTACTTAGGGATTCTGGAGATTAGAACATTTTTTCTGCGTGGTATATTATTATTATTGATTACTGAGTTGATTTTGGCAGTCGTGCTGACGAAATTATTCCCCTCGATGCGTCATTTGAGGCTGGACCTATCACTAGGGTACAAAAATCTATAACGAGCGATTTAATGAGATACTGATGAACTCTTTGTAATATCGTATGTTTTCTACAATTAAATTGATAATAAATGATATAGTATTTAAATATTCTTGATACTTTGAATTGTTTATTAACACTGATTTACAACGTGTGGATCACGATTCAGTTCATCGAATGAGAAGATTTCTACATATTTTTGGGATTTTTTTTCAATTTCCCCTGGGGGGAAGGATTTAGTGCGCCTCACCGTAAAACTCCTTCCTTCTGATCTCACGCCATTTCTCGACGTTCTCGGGATTGTTGACTGGAAGAAAATTTATTGGATTAATTCAAAACAAAGACTAATTTTTTCCCCATAAAATTAACCGTAAATTCAGCAATAAATAACTAATCGGCATTTTATTGGATGTTAAATTCTGTTGGTAACAAGGACTTCTCTAGAAAAATGTTCTCCTGACACTTTTTCAATACAATAAATTGTCTTTCAGGTGAATGCATCGATGTAAATATCAAAATGAACGTTTTTCTGGTGCAATTGATTTCTAACATCTTTTTAAATTTTAAATTATCTCGTAAGGAGTCATTTTACGAGGAAATGTCACAAGGAATTTTTTGTTGGAAATTTAATTCTCCACAAAAAAAGTCTCGTGACATTTTTTCTTAAAATCAACCGTTTTGGAGATGAATTCATCAACATGAATGACGTATTCAACTTTTTATGCTCCAGTCGATTTTTAACAACTTGTTAAATATTGAATTATCTTGAGAACAAGTCGGTCTAGGAAAAAATGTCAAGGGATATTTTTTGTTGGAAATTCAATTCTCTACAAAAAAGTCGTATGACATTTTCTTCTGAATTCCACTGACTTGGAGATAAATGCATTAAATAACAGACGAATCGATTTTTCAACATGTCTTTAAAAGCGAAAACATCTTAATAATGAGTGGTTTTATGAAAAAATTCTCAGACATTTTTTGTCAGGGATAAGATTCTCCATTGAAAAATACTCACCGAGCTTGGTGATCTTCCACATAACTGGTAGAGTCAGAAGAATTCCATAGCACCAGTATCTGGTGAACCATGCGTGCTTCCAGTGATATTTGTACGGGAAGAAGTACACCTTTGCTGTCGTAGTGTACGGGAACTTCATGTAACGATCCTTGGAAACTGGTGCGTCAGCCATGGTGGCTATCATAAAAATAATTTGTCACTTTTGTATATGACCACAGGTACAAGCTTGGGTTTCCCCCTGCTATGGGAGAGTTTTTCTCTTGATAAGCAGTAAATAAATAAATAAATGAATTAAAATGATCATCGACCACTTCTCCCTCATTTCCAACCTCAAAATCCCATTATTCCCATTGGGAATTTATTTGTTTCTATTAATAAATGAATTAAAAATACATAAATTCCCAATGGAATTCCCAATTTCTATTAATGAATACATTAAAAATAAATAATAATAAAATAATAGGGCGGTTGGGGTAAAACGGACACTTGACTTTTTTTTAAATGTTAATGAGGGGTTGAAATGTTGATAAAATTCAATAATTTTTTTTTCAATACAAAGAACAATTCTTTCCCTTTTTAACGAGCCTAAACTGAGCTCAATTGATCAATTTGTTTCTGAGTTATGAATAATTTTAAAAAAGTCTAGAGTGTGCGTTTTACCCCACCCTTCCCTAATATTTAATAATAATGTTCCTTATTTAGAAACATTATTTTTATATTAATAAATAACAAAATTCCCAAAGTCACCAAAAAACTTAATTAAACGAAAAATCAAGTGTTAATCAATTAATAATTTTCAGCTGGAGGAGAATATCTTATTTAAACTCCAAAAACTTCGACTGCAAACATTTGAAGTTCTTCATATCCTAAATTACTTAATTAATCGAAAAAATCGACATGAACTGATTTTTTTAATGGAAAATTTGTACACTTTCACCGTCTTGAAACTTCATGCAACATTCCTTGAGAACTGGCGCGTCAGCCATGCTGGTCATCGTCATAAAAATGATCATCACCACCTCCATCCCCCAACCCCCGCCCCACCAAATAAATAAAAAAATTCCCAGAGTCACCCAAAACCTTATTAAAACGAAAAATCAAGCGTTACTCAATAAATAATCCTCAACTCCAAGAAAATAAAATCTGATTGAACCTCCAAAAACCGTCGACAGCCGTTTGACGTTCTCTACCTTCTCTCGTTAATTAACCGATTAAAAAAATCGTCCCCAACTGATTAACTCCGATTAATTTCTCGAAATGTTCATAAGTACCTGGCGATTGTTCCAAATGTCACAAGACAAGAGAGAGAGTTTTTCCTTCGGACGAAGATTTTCAGTCCCCCGACTTGGTTATATAATGGCCCCGCTCACAATCGACCCCTCGCGCCTCGATACATCGAATGGCGCTGGCTACTTCCGGTTTGAGGCGCCAGCGCCGCCTGGAGACGCCTCGCGTTCGCATTTGAATCAGAGGCCGCTGGCCAACGTTTCTTCCTGCGTCAGTATTTTGTTTTTCCGACGGTTTGCACTTCGTTTTGAGACTGAAAAACCGTTTGCGAGGTTTTTATTTTGGGCATCTTGAGAGGCGAAGGACCTGGACATCGGGACCATCATGTCCCCGAGGAAAACGAGACGAGGTGAGGGCTTTTTTTCACGGGGTTGGGGTCTCGGGGCTCGAGCACCTGGTGCTTACGTTACGGTTTGGGCGGGATATGTGGGAACATGGCGACGTTTTGGCGGAATGGATAAAATTCTTGCTCCGTTCGACACTTCGGGGGATTTTCCAGGGGGAAGCTCACCAGGATCGCGAGGACGTGGGCTTCGGGGTTGAGGGGGTGCGATTTTTTTTGCTTGGAGGGGTTTTTTTGATTACGTAATTCGAATTTGGGATGGGAATGAGTGTGGGGACTGTTTTCCACTTGAGATAACAAAAAAAGGGTTTTTTGGGGGGAAGGGGATGGGTTCAGGTATTTTTTACTTGAGATATTTTTTTGGGGGGTGGATTTTTTGAGGGCTTTTTGGGGAGGAGAGTGATGGCTACGAAGATGGTCTTCATGATTTTGGTGGATCCACTGGATTGGGACACGTTTTCAGTGAATGATACAATTATCTCAGGAACTTTTAATTTGAAGTAAAATTTTTTTAACGAACTAGAAGAATTTTTTTATTTCCAAAGGAGAAGTTATTCTGCATGAAACTCCTTTGATTCAAAATTTTCAAACATCGCTTTATTTGTCATGCTTGATGAGTAGCAATTAAAATAGCATTTTATCCGGGTGTAGTGGTGGCATAGGACGAGAGATGGTTAAGGATGTTCTACACCTTTTCGGTCAAAATTCACGTTTTTTTAATTTTTCTCGCGAATTGTCGGTCGGATTGACGCGAAAAAATATAACGTTTCTGCATTTTGTCATTATTTAATGACTCGCGAAGTTGCAAGGTGGTGCGATCATTCTTGTGCATTTTTGCTAAACGTTTAAAAGGAATCACAAAACTGTAGAAAAAACGCAGGAAAATGATCCCACCACCATGACACTGCGTGAGCCATTAAATAATGACAGAACACAAAAACGTTACATTTTTTCCGTCAATCCGATGGACAATTCGCCAGAAAAAGGAAAAAAAACGTGAATTTCAGCCAAAAAGGTGTCGAACATCCTTAAAATCGACTTTAGATCTTTTTTGTAGCTCTCATTTCGCTCTCCAAAAAATATTTATCAAAAATTGACATTTGTCCTAGATGTACCTAAAAAATTGACGACAAGATAGATTAATTAATTCTATTCCCCCGTTTTATTTTTATTTCCATTAGTGTTCCAATGACTGTTTCACACCTTCTCAAAATAACAAAATAATAAAAACAAATGCAAAAATTTTTGCTCCCAACATTAACCAAAATGCATCCAATAACCAGAATACAAAGACAGAATTAGACTAAACGCTTCATCCCTCGAACTAGTGTTTGAAATAATGATCTCAAGTCCCTTATTTCCCATAATTACTTCTCCAAACTCCCCACTGAACCCCCATTTCCCCCGCAGTTTACATTCCCTAATAAACCACCATAAACTTCTCTAACTCCCAGCATCAATTAAAAATGATTGAATCCGTCGTCTGAAATCTCCCCCAAGAAATCGTAATCCGATTTTCTTCCAGGCCGAGCGAGGGAGGCAGACGAGACCATCTCCACAACGATCGACGACTCCCTCGCCCACGTGGAGAGTCCCTCCACGCACTCTCGCTCCCTCCGCGCGCGTCGCCCCAAGAACCCGAAAGAGCCTCCCCCCCAGCTCCCCCCAGCCCCCGAGGACCTCGTCGAGGCCTCGCCCCAGCCCCCGCGTTGTACCCGGCCCCGACGAACGGTCGTCGAGCCCCAGGACCCCAACACCTCCCTGACGACCACTCGCAAGCGGCGCAAGCCCAAGACCTCCGACGAGGAGCCCCCCTCCCCTCCCGGTTCCCCCTCCGCCAAGAGGAACCCCCGAAAGAAGAAGTCAGAGGTCCAAACCCCCCCGGATTCCCCCCCAGAGGTGCCCCCCAGGCCCGACAATCCCCCAGACAGTGACGACAACGAAGTGGCGAACGCCTCCTCGAGGATGCCCCCCAGGTCTGCCCCGACGAACCGCCGGTTCCGTCAGCTCCGGGGGCAGGGGGACTCCCCCAACGACGTGACCCCCGAGAGCTCCCCGATAACCGTCACCCTGACCCCCCACAGAACGACTAAGACCCCGAGGAAGTCCCCTGTGAACCTGGGCTCCCCGAAGACCCACTCCCTCTCCCCCCGGCGTCACTCCAAGACCCCGAGGAAGCTCTCGGTGGTGGCGGCCTCACCAGCCCCCTCCGACCACTCCTCGACGACGGGGACCCCGAACGAGCCCCGAAGAACCCCGAGGTCACCCCCGAAGCCCGAAAAATCGAAGAACCGAACGACTTTGCACTCGAAGACCCCGAAGATCGTCCTCAGGAAGTCGAAGTCGAAGAGTCCCCCCTCTGCACGTGGGTCGAAGGTCAGAGGATCCTTCAAGAAGTCTCCGACCCCCAAGGGGCCGAATTCACCACCTGAAAAATGGAAATCTGAGGTGGGGGATTCCCCGAAAAATGCGGAGGTTCCTGAGGAGAAGTCGGTCCAGGTGCTCCTGCAGAGGATCTCGCCGCAGGTGTCGCCGCAGGTCCAGCCGTCGCCGAAGTCCCCGAGACTTACGTCTCGTCTCCACAGCCTGGTGAGGTCTGAATTTCGGTCGTCGACTCCTCGAGAACGAGCCCGGGAGGTCCAGGAGTCCTTGAGTGTCTCAGGGACGTCTCCGTTGAACGTCAGTAAGTTTTACGGGTCCCCCAGGGGCTCCAGGAGCGCCTCGAAGTCGCTTCTCCTGGAGGACGAGTCCAATCCGATGGTCAGTGGGGACGACTCCTTCGGGATCAGTGGGATCAAGCCTGCGGAGGACGACGGGGAGGAGGGGGGGGACAGGGAGGCGACCAGGAGCATCCATAAGGACAGTACTTATGAGCTGGCGGAGCCCAAGACCCCCAATCTGAGGAGGCGGGGGAACTTGGGGGATGGGACGTACGAGCTGGACGAACCCAAGACTCCGGGGCTCCTCAAGAGCAGTAGGAAGAGGAGTCTCGAGGGCGGGGAGTCACCTGGGGAGTCCAAGAGGGTCTGCAGGGTGAGGTTCGCCAGTCCTGGGGGGGCGACCCCCAAGAAGAGCCCGAAGGTAGGTGGATGGAGAGCTATTTAGTAGGGGAGCATGGGGCAAAATGAAACAGTGGGTAAATCTCGTCATCTAAAGGAGATAGGACATTTTTGAAGAGGACCTTTTTTGTAGCTTGTAAAATTCTCTACAAAAAAGGTTTTTATGAAAATCGTTCTATCTCCCTTAGATCACAAGATTTTCTTGCTGTTTCATTTTGCCCCGTGTTTCATTTTGCCCCACCGTCCCCTATTTTGTTTCTTTAAAGCAGCTCTACCCTTACGGTAAATTCAAAGGCTATTGAAAACTGAACAAAATTTCAGAAAACTCGATTACATTCGGAATTCTAATTTTTTTCTCAATTTAATCATTCTTTTGGTTTTGCAAAGAAGAAATGGGTGAAAATCAGGATTTCACCCAGTGTCTTATGTGAAAATCAACATTTCCGTTGTAATCGAAGATTAAAATTAGAATTTTTTTCGTCAGATGTGAAAAAATCGAGTTTTTTTGACTCCTCGTAAAAAATAGAACATTGTCACTGATATATTCGGTGGTTCGACCTCTGGGGATCTTCCTCAAATCAGCTAAAGAATAATCGAAGTTATATTGAAAATTCCGTTAGTTTTTGATCGATTCTATTGAATAATTCCGCAGGTTCGCTGCTAGATTTTTTTTTATCTTTCTATACAACTTTTTTACTTTTTTCTATTGAGAGATCTTCTACAGGAATTCCTCAACGGGAATTTTTTACGCTTTTTCCATTTCATTTTTCTTCTTTCATTGAAAACTGAAATAAAATGTCAATGAAATTCCAATGACATTGAACGAAATGTCAATGAATAAATCAGTGAAATTTCAATTTAAAAAAATCAATGAAATTTCAGTGATCGATTTCATCCCCTCGTCTTTTTATTCACGAGTCCTGTGTCAATCGTAGGTGGTGATGAGGTCCAGATCGGCGACCCCTAGCTCGAAGCTCCTGAAGAAGCGAAGCCCCCAGGGAGTCGGTACATTGAGAAGACGCTCAAACTCCCTATCGACCCTGATGAAGTCCCCAAGATCAGTCCTGAAGCCCTCAGGACCCGACGCCAGTGGAAAGTGGAGCCAGAAGGCCCAGAACGAGTCCGTCACTCGTTTGAGCAAGCCTAGACTCTCCATCAGTCTCAACGACGCCGACAAGAAGAAGAAGGGCACCTCCTCCGCGAAGAAGGTCCCCAACTTCGCTCAGATACACCAGAAGAAGTTCGAGAAGATGGAGTCGCTGGTGGACGCCAAGAGGAGGATCGAGGTGAGGCACAACGCCCTGACCAGCTCCAACATCGGGAACATCAAGGGACAGGAGGTGACGACTTCTGGAAAACCCAAGGAGGAAGAGGAGGTCGTGAAGGCCAGGATTATGACGGAGCCCAAAGCTGGGTTCAACAGATTTGGCTTCAGGATTCAGAATCAGGCTGGAGCCAAGAAGAACGAGGGGTACAACAGGTTTGGGTTCAAGGTGAGGAAGGAGGAGGCGACGAAAATCGTGTCCAGACCTAATGCTGCGAAACTCGAGGAGAGGAAGGAGGTCAAGAGGATGGCGCTCAAGGGGGTCAGGACTAATAAACGGTTTGAATTGTTGATGAAGTCGAGGAATATGAAGTAGGGGTCGACTTAGATGATTAAGTGTTTGAATATTTTAAGGGAAACAGAATATAAAAAGTTTACTTGAAGTGGCAGGGAAGGTGAAGTAAAATGAAAATTAAATCGTCAATATCTCCTCGCCCAATGATGCAATTGGGATCAATCAGAGCGCTTTTTGAAGGTATTTCAGGCTTCAAAATGAAAAAAAAATTATTGGGTTCCACTCTGCGGATCTTGAATTATTGATGATAAGTTTTACTTCTCTTTTTCCTAAAACGGATTAAGTATATAGTTTTGATATAATATTCTCGGTTTTTATGAGGTTTTTATTTGATTATGAAGTAATTAGGGTTCGAAGGGTCAAGACATTTTTTATGGAAATTCTATTCCACTCATTAATGGGGTAATTAGTAAAAGTGTGTAATCACCAAAGATTTCGATGCCGTTTTAAATTCGTTTCTTTATCATCAATTATCTCGTTAATGAATTGCTGCGGGAGAAAATGTCACAGACCATTTATTGTCGGGAATTTAATTCCCCACAAAAAAGGTATTCAGACATTTTCTCGCGAAATCACTCGTTTCCGAGATAAATCGTCAATTGCAAAGACCACTTCACTGATTTTATTCCTCGATTGAATTCTAAATTCATATGTAATGAATGAATTGTACAGTTTTAGGACAGAGGAATTTAGTTATTTCTGGGGTAGTTAGGACGAGGGTAGAGTTGGGTAATGGATATCACATAACGCTGTATTTTCATAATTGCGTGATTACATAGTCCAATGTATAATGTAATTATTTGGTAAGTTGTTACGACTGTTTGTGAAGGAGTGAAATGAATAAACGATAATGCCTTGAGAGAATCCCCCACAATGTCAATGTTTCTTCAATTTCAGGAGACGAAACTAATCACTAACTGGAATATCTCAATTATCCGGGCCTTCAACCCAACTCTCTTTCAAAAACCCAGACGGAAAATACAAAAAAAATAGGAGATTTGACTCGAAATAGTTAATTTCGGAGTCATCACACCCGAGGAATGAAATTTTACTTGGAACAATTTCTATTTTCATCAAATTGATATAGAATTCCTGGTAATAATTACGGGGATGACTCTAATGGACTATTTCAGCAATTCCCCTGAAAAAACCATCAAGAATCAGTTCAAAACCCCCCACAATTGGGGAGTTTTTCGACCAATTCACGAACTAATGGCGCCAGGTGGCCACTTTTCAATGGATCCGACAAGGATATAGTTCTCGCCAAGAAAGAATGATGATGGCTTTGAGTGGTGGGGGAAATTGAGTCGAAGCTAAATTTGAAAGAGTGGGGGTAGCCAGCCAGCAACATTTTTGGCGATTTATAGCCAAAACCTGTACAATTTTAAATGGGGTGATGTCACGATCTGGTAACACTGATGGCAAGGATTATAGCATGACATCTTTGCCATTGGCAAACGGAGTGGGTGACGCCCTGCTGCCATCAGTTTCAGTTTCGCAAAAACTCCCTGATTCCCACGAATTGCCCATCCCCTCCGCCTGGTGGCGCCACCCACCCCCCGCCCGACCATAACCCCCAGTGTTTCCCAGCCACCACCTCCTAAGCCCCCCAGAAATGTCCCTCTCAATTCCCCCCAGCTGATACCTCAAACCCGACAAAAAGCCCTGGCCATGGAGTTCGTGGAATTCATAACAACCCCAAAAGTGGACGGAGTGATCCTAACCGAGCGAACGAACGAGAAGGTCCCCCGGCTGGAAGGTACCCTCTGCCTGAGCAGTCACCACCTGCTGCTGTCCTCCCGCCAGGACCACCGCAAGGAGCTGTGGCTGCGCTACAGGAACATTGACCAAGTTGAGAAGAAGACCAACAGCCAGAGTCCAGGGGGCTGCATGCTCCTCAAGTGCAAGGACTTCCGGATCCTCCAGCTGGAGATGTCCTCCAGCGAGCACCTGACGAACATTTCCGCATCCCTGGAGAAGCTGTCCTCCCTGGACCAGGCGGACCAGTACCCGTTCTTCTACAGACCCCAGGCGTCGGAGGTGAATAAAGGCGAGGACGGCTGGTCGTCCTTCACGCCGGTCTCCGAGTGGTCCAGACTCCTGGCGACCCATGGGGACGAGTGGAGGATCAGCTACCTCAATCGAGACTACAGAGTCTGCAACTCCTATCCATCAGCAATAATCGTTCCTCGACTGATCGACGACAACGTGATCATGTCCTCGGCGGCCTTCAGGGACGGCGGACGATTCCCCATTCTGTGCTACAGGCACGAGGGGGGGAGTATATTGTTCAGGGGGGGACAGCCGATGTGCGGAGCCACTGGGAAACGCTGCAGGGAGGACGAGAAGCTACTGAACATCGTCCTGGGGGCTGGGAGGCGAGGGTACATCGTGGACACCAGGTCCACGAACCAGGCGCAGGCAGCGAGGGCTCGGGGGGGCGGCACCGAGATCGACTCGGCGTATCCCCAGTGGAGGAAGGTCTACAAGGGCGTTCCCAGGCTCGGGGAGCTCGCCGAGAGCCTCGGGAAGTTGATAGAGAGTTGTAACGATGTGGCTTGTTCCAGTGGACAGTGGCTCTCCAGGCTGGAGAACTCGGGGTGGCTGGGGGCTGTTCAGGGGGCTATGAATGCCGCTTGTGTGGTCGCTCAGTGCTTGGAGCAGGAATTAGCTGCTGTTCTTGTGCACGGTGAGGAGGGGGGGGGAGGGGGACGAGTAAGGAATAGTCCCTGAGGGGATTTGAACCCACAACCTTCAGATTACAATAAGGGCTTCGGCTCACAACACAGAAAAAAATACAAAAAAAATTACTGTAGAGTACAGGAAAATGAACCCATTTTATTGTGTCAGGACAGTAATTTTTCCTGTATTTTTTTCTTCATGCACTACCTTCAGGTTATGATAGGGGGTTTGAACCCACAACCTTCAGATTACAATAAGGGCTTCGGCTCACAACACAAAAAAAAACAAAAAAAATACTGTAGAGTACAGGAAAATGAACCCATTTTATTGTGTCAGGACAGTAATTTTTCCTGTATTTTTTTCTTCATGCACTACCTTCAGGTTATGATAGGGGGTTTGAACCCACAACCTTCAGATTACAATAAGGGCTTCGGCTCACAACACAAAAAAAAACAAAAAAAATACTGTAGAGTACAGGAAAATGAACCCATTTTATTGTGTCAGGACAGTAATTTTTCCTGTATTTTTTTTCTTCATGCACAACCTTCAGGTTATGATAGGGGATTTGAACCCACAACCTTCAGATTACCATAAAAAATTTTCACACAAAAAAAATACAGGCAAAATAAAAATGATGAATATGGAGCACAGTAAAATGGGTTCATTCCATCGAATTCCTCTCGCTAGCAGAGTAATTGTTCCTGTACTTTCTTTATCGCTGCACAACCATCCAAACGCAATACGGAATTTGAACCCGCAACCTTCAGATTACTTTCGGGGGGTTCCCCCACTGCGCAAAATAGTTCCTCCATCCATCGAACGTAAACCCGAGTCCAAATGTTCTCAATTTTCCAGGATCAAGTGGTCGAGACTCAACCCTGGTGGTGACCAGTCTCGCCCAGGTAATCCTGCACCCGGCGTCTCGAACAATTCGCGGTCTCCAGTCGCTCATAGAGCGTGAGTGGCTGCAGGCAGGCCACCCCTTCTACACCCGCACCCGCCACTGCGCCTACGCCCCCACCCAATCCCACAGCTCCCCCCACGCCCCCACCTTCCTCCTCTTCCTGGACTGTCTCTTCCAGCTGCACCACCAGTTCCAGTACAGCTTCGAGTACACGACGGACCTCCTAGTGGAGCTCTTCAAGCACGCCTATTCCTCGGAGTACGGCACCTTCCTGGGTGACTCCGAGTGCGAGAGGATATCCCTCAGGCTGGCCGAGAACACCAGCAGCCTCTGGCCACACATCAACAAAACCGAGAATCTAGACAAGTGGACGAATCCTCTCTACGAGCCGAATCCCAGTGTCATCTGGCCTAGCATAGCACCAATCAGTATTCGTCTCTGGAAGCAGCTCTACCTCCATCACACACCTGTTGCCCCCTGGGATGACTTCGTCCCCTGCGTTAGACACTTGAAACACAATTACTCGTCTGTTAAGAAATTCGCTGGACAATTGCGCGATCAGGTGCGTCGGGCTCTCGACGAGATTGACGCGCAGCAGGACGGCACCTCATGCATCAAGGATGACGAGCAGATGCAGTCCTTGTGCCTGGGGAAGTTGAATCTGGAGACGCAATCCGCATAATGACGACTGACTAAAATCTTCAGGAAGTGAAATGTTGAGAGAGACTCAATTCAGAAAATTGCATTTTAGTTTTTCGAGTGTAGCTCGGAATCTGGGGGAGATGGCGAAATTTTCGTGGAGCACTTTTTTGGGGGAAATTTAATTCCCGAGAGAAAAGGTCTTGTGACATTTTTTCGTAGACCCACTCGTTTGTGAGTTATGGGGTAATTAGTGAAAGGGGTTCATCGACGAAATGTCAGAAACTTGAAGAGTTGATTGTATCGAGTTGGATTTAGATATTGAGGAGAAATGAATTAGTTGAGCCATTTATTACAATTTCCTCGTGCATCAAGGATGACGAGCAGATGCAGTCCTTGTGCCTGGGGAAGTTGAATCTAGAGACGCAATCCGCATAATGACGACTGACTAAAATCTTCAGGAAGTGAAATGTTGAGAGAGACTCAATTCAGAAAATTGCACTTTAGTTTTTCGAGTGTAGCTGGGAATCTGGGGGAGATGGCGAAATTTTCGTGGAGCACTTTTTTGGGGGAAATTTAATTCCCGAGAGAAAAGGTCTTGTGACGTTTTTTCGTAGACCCACTCGTTTGTGAGTTATGGGGTAATTAGTGAAAGGGGTTCATCGACGAAATGTCTTCAAGAAACTTGAAGAGTTGATTGTATCGAGTTGGATTTAGGTATTGAGGAGACGTGAACTAGTTGAGAGGGTCTAGAGCCATTTATTACAATTTCAAATACGAAGTTAATATGTACATACATATGAAATAATCTTCGATTTACGTAGATTCGTACTGAGGAATGTCAATATCGTGTATAAATTATTTATTTTAGCTCCATTTAGATATAAATTACAGTATTGCATGTCTAGATTTTCACACGTAGTTTCGTAATTTGGTGTAATGATGGGGGAAATTCAGAGGAGAATCCACCTCTCGCATTTTCAAATAACAAATTATTTTGAAAACGAGTGATTCCAAAATTTCACAAAAAACAAAATTAAAAAATGAGATTTTCCTTGAAAACTCGTGAATTCTCTTCTCGCACCCCTCAAAAATTTCGAAAAATGTTATTTACAGTTAATCCCCAGTGCAGATGTGTAAAAACCCACCATCAGTTATCAACAATTTGTATAAACAATTTCCAAAAATTACACCAGCAGCATTAATTCTTATTCTGCATGGAGAACGATAAAAATCGTCCTTCTTAGATCATCAATATCTCCCGACCCAACGACGCGATTTGGCTAAATCAGAGCTCATTTCAAAGATCGAAGAAAGGCCTTCAAAATGAGATAAAAATTTCTGTTTTTCACTCAGCCGATCCTGAGTTATTGACGATCGAAGAGAGGTCGTTTGACCCTTCTCCCCCTTGTGTACACCACAGACGTGTGATTGCTGATTTTAAGATAAAAAATAATAATTTGAATTCACGTGAGGTAGACAACGACGAGAGTCATGACGAGAACAGTGAAGAGCATTCCACCGACTAGTATGAAGCCGTCAGCCCTCGCCCTCTGCTCTATGAGCCTCATGGTGGTGTTGGAGAGCCCCAGGGCGTTCCCAATATCGATGAGGCGCTTGTGGGCGCCCTTCAGGGTCATCCGCTGGGACCGCAGGCTCTCGATTATGCCACTGCCATGCGCCAGGAGGTTGTCAATCCCCTGGTTAGCGCTGGCCACTTGACTGTTGTACTGAATATCGCGATCGATGTTGATCTCGATGTGATCGTTTGTCGTGAATTTCCGGGAGAGGAGGGCCTCCCTCTCGGCCTCGGCCTCTCTCTTACGTTCCTGCTGGGCCCTCCAGGAGTTCAGGGCCGCTGTCAGGTGACGGCTGTCGTATTTCAACTGATCTACTCGCATTTTTGCATTTTGCCGCTGGGTTATTGGGCCCTTCATACAGAGGACGTCCAGTCTTTCGCAGTTGCTGGAAGAAGAAAAATGAGGGAATGAATTCCTGATTTTTTTTGGGAAATATTCAGAGGAATTCATCATTTACTCATTATTCATTATTACTTATTCATTATTTATTTATTCGTTCATATTTTTTCTATTTTCATCTATTCCCATAATTTTAATTAACGTCTTCATTTATTTTCTTGCATCAATACTTTATTTAGAGGAATTATATCGATGGAAATCTTGAATGATAAATTTATTAAAATAACTGAATGGCATTTTTTTCATTTGTTCAAGTCAACGTCATCAGGAATTCTCTCTCATGAATAATAGTTATTCAATTTAATAATTGATTGAATTTTTTTCAATCATTGATTTTGATCTCTATTTCAATTATTAAAAAAATTCCTTTCAATTCATTTCACTTTGAAATAATAATTACGTATCAATTTTCAGTTGTAATTTCTTCATTTTCATTTCTTCCCAAATTTTCATCAACATTTCCACTTATTTTCTTCCATCTCACTGGAAGTCCATCACTGTTCCATCACTGGAATTCCAATGATTCAACAATTCCTTCAAATTTCACAAGCAACATAAATTTCCTGTCTCCTTCAGCTCACATGAACAATATGAAACAATTAAACCCTCGAAACAATAGAAACTCAAAGAGCCCAAAACTCCAACCCAAAAAATTCAAAATCATTCAGGAAAACAATTGATGTGAAATTTACCCGTTGATTACTCCAATTTTCGACAAAATTTCACTCTCCACTGCGCCGTGATCTAGGTTAGGCAGTCGTTTGTCCAACTGCGTGAACAGGTGCTGGGTCTCCTGGACCAGTTTATTCGTCTGGTGGTACAGCGTCTCCATGGCTCAACCGACACTTCCAGCGAAATAATTAGCACGTGCTACTCTTCCCCAGGAAATCCTGTCAGGAGGCACGTTGACATCGTCTTCGCGGGTGACAGCTTGGAGTTACGTGCGCTCCAGTGACGTGTGTGTTTACTTCTGCCCTCTCGCCCCTCCCCGTCGCCCCAGGCACTGACTTAAAGACCATCTGACGCCTCGAAATCCACATCCACTCGCTCCAAAAGGAGAAAGTCTTGTTTTCCAGTGAAAAAAGTAGTGTGAATGAGTGTTTAATGCAGATGTAACATGGATATTGGGGAATTATTGTCGTACAAGGTAATTATCGATCTGATTAAATATTTTCTGGGGGTAAGAAGATTGGAGTGAGGTTAAGCAGGGGGAACGAGGCTGAACGGATGCTTTTTACTTTGATCTTAATATTCATGAGTGAGAAACGAGTTGATCAATGAATATTAATAATAATTGTTATTTGTTTTTAAATTATAAAGATCAAAATCGACTTCTGATGATAAAAATTTGGTACTCGAAATTAAGACCGAAATAAGGGTCACGAGGGCCAGATTAAGGGTCATGAGAGTCAAAGTAAGGGCCACAAGGGACGGGCTAAGGGTCATGAGGGTCAGATTAAGGGTCATAAGATTAAAGGTGACAAGGGCCAGATTAAGGGTTTAATTAAGGGTAATAAGGGTCATTAAGGGTCCAAATAAGTATAACAAGGGTCAGATTGAGGGTTACAAGGGTCACAGTAAGGGTCGAAATAAGGGGTATGGGGTTCAAAAACCAAGGGTTGGAACCTGAGGGTCAGCAGGGTCAAAATAAGGGTCACAAGGGCCGGGTTAAGGGTCATGAGAGTCAAAGTAAGGGCCACAAGGGACGGGCTAAGGGTCATGAGGGTCAGATTAAGGGTCATAAGATTAAAGGTGACAAGGACCAGATTAAGGGTTTAAATAAGGGTCATTAAGGGTCCAAATAAGTATAACAAGGGTCAGATTGAGGGTTACAAGGGTCAGAGTAAGGGTCGAAATGAGGGGTATGGGGTTCAAAAACCAAGGGTCGGCACCTGAGGATCAGCAGGGTCAAAATAAGGGCCACAAGGGCCGGGTTAAGGGTCAGATTAAGGGCCACAAGATTAATCACAATTTTGAGAAAAAATCTGAAGTGTAAATTGTGCTCCACTCGTAATAATTCTGCAGCCCCCGAGCACGCCGAAGCGTCCATCAGCTGGTGATGACGACGACGAGGACGACTGGGACGCCAAGAAGATTAAGGTCATCAAGACCCCTTACCACCCCCGCCAGAGGTACCCCAGTCGTGATGTGGAGACTACCCCTCAACGACGCCCAGTGGAGCCCTCTCTGGAGGCCAGAGCCCCGGCTCCAGCGCAGAGCAATGAGATCCTCGAGCCAGAGCTGACGGACAGGGAGAAGGAGGAGATCCTGAGGTACGTGGAGAACGAGGCGCCCGAGGTCGAGGCTCTCGACGAAGCTACCTTGAAGAGGATGGTCCTGCTGTTCGAGAAGAGGGCTCTCAGGAACCAGGAGATGAGGGTCAAATTCCCGGATCAACCGGAGAAGTGAGAAAACTAGAATTTTAATTGTTAAATTATTTTTTCACATTTTCTATACGAAAATATCGTTTTCATTCATTTTTATTATAAATTAAGGCCCGGGTGTACTATCTTTCGAATGTTATCTGGATTTTTTTTATCTTTCGTTATCCAAAATTGTCAATTGGGTGATATATCATGTAGAAATTCCCAAAAATTATGATAGAATGATGAAAAAAATGGAAAAAATTCTGAACTTTTCAAAGGCTTTAATTGAGATTCAGAATGAGTTGAAAAAAGTGGAAATTACAATTGCTGAACATTCGCTGTTCAAGTGGTGTTTGAAAATTCTGACCTTGAAGAAAAAATATTTTACTTCCCTAGAATTTTTCGTTTGAAATTAATTTCTTCTCTGTGTTTACAACAAAAATAGTGTTTTTGTTCGATACAAGACCGTTTGAACAATTTTAGGTTCATGGAGTCAGAGGTGGAGCTCCACGAGACCCTCCAGGAGCTCCACGTAGTCGCCACGAGCCCCGAATTGTACCCTCTGATGGTGGAGCTTGGGGCGATTCCTTCATTACTCGAGTTGCTGTCCCACGAGAACACAGACATTGCTGTTGGAGTCGTTGATCTCATCCAGGAATTGTCAGACGTGGATATTCTACATGAGAGTCAGGAGGGTGCTGACGCCCTGATAGATGCTCTCCTCGAGCAACAGGTGTGTGCATTACTGGTGCAGAATCTGGACAGACTTGATGAGTCGGTGAAGGAGGAGAGTGATGGGGTTTTCAACACTTTAGGTAGGAAAAATGAGGGGAAAACTGAACTCGTTAATGCTAAACTTGTTAATTCTATTTTGTTTCAATAAAATTAATTCTATTTTGTTTCAATAAAATTAATTCTATTTTGTTTCAATAAAATTAATTCTATTTTGTTTCAATAAAATTAATTCTATTTTGTTTCAATAAAATTCATTCTATTTTATTTCAATAGAATTAACGCAAAACAAATGAATCTCTAATCAAATTCTAAGAGAATTAGGATTAAATTCTTGTTGAATTTCAATGGAAATTTTTTAATTGAATTTTTTTCGAGACAATTGGTTTCAATGTGTTTCAATTAATCTATTTGGTTTATTTAATTTAATTGAGGGATGAAGACAGTTTCTGTGACGAATTCCCTTTCTTCTAGCCATTTTCGAGAATTTATTGGAGTTCAGGCCTGAGTTGTGTGTCGACGCTGGCAAGCAGGGGCTCCTGCAGTGGCTGTTGAGGAGGATCAAAGCTAAAATGCCTTTTGACGCTAACAAACTTTATGCCAGTGAGTTATTGTCGATTCTGCTTCAAAACACACCGGAGAATAAATTGGTTCTGGGGGATCTGGATGGCATTGATGTTCTGCTGCAACAATTGGCTGTGAGTGGATTTATTTATTTATGCTTGCATAAATTATTTTAGCTCTCTCTTTTTATTTAATTAAATTTTTGTTCTATTCATAAATTTTGTTTGTTTTTTTTTAATTTTTATTATGAATGAATGGATAATGTCGTAGTATTAAACGAAAATTGAATTAATTGCATTAATTAAATTCATTAATCACAATTGAACAATTAATTAATTAATTAAATTAATAACATTGTTAAAACAATAACAATATTAATTAATTAATTGTTGAGTTAATTAATATTGTTAATAAAAATTTTCGGGCTGAGAATTTGGAAAAAAAAATTATTTCAAATTATTTTGAGGACAAAATTATTTAAACATTTGTTTCTCCTTTATAAACAGAATTTTCAATTATCAGTTGAACAATCAATTTAATTAATTACATTAATTAACAACAATTTAACAATTAATTAAACTAGTTATATAATTAATTGAATTAATATTGTTATTAATTTAATTAATTAATTGTTCAATTGTTATTAATTTAATTAATAACAATATTAATTAATTAATTGTTGAGTTAATTAATATTGTTATTAATTAAATTAATAACAATTGAACAATTAATTAATTAAATTAATAACAATATTAATTCAATTAATTATATAACTAGTTTAATTAATTGTTAAATTGTTGTTAATTAATGTAATTAATTAAATTGATTGTTCAACTGATAATTGAAAATTCTGTTTATAAAGGAGAAACAAATGTTTAAATAATTTTGTCCTCAAAATAATTTGAAATAAATTTTTTTTCCAAATTCTCAGCCCGAAAATTTTTAAATTTATTCTCATTGCGGCCAAATGAATAATTTCTCATTTCCAGTACTACAAGAGGCACGACCCCCAGACAGCAGAAGAGCAAGAGATGATGGAGAACCTCTTCAACGTCCTCTGCTCGAGTCTGATGGCGACAGTGAATCGAGAGCGTTTCCTGCGCGGTGAGGGTCTCCAGCTGATGAACCTGATGCTGCGCGAGAAGAAGATGTCGAGAAACGGCTCCCTCAAGGTCCTGGACCACGCGATGAACGGTCCAGAGGGCAAGGACAACTGCATGAAGTTCGTGGACATCCTGGGGCTCCGCACCATCTTCCCCCTCTTCATGAAGACCCCAACGAAGAACAGGAAGAAGGTGTTCACAGCTGAGGAGCATGAGGAGCACGTCGTCTCGATAATAGCGAGCATGCTGAGGAACTGCAAGGGCCAGCAGCGCCAGAGGCTCCTCAGCAAGTTCACGGAGAACGATTACGAGAAAATGGACAGACTAATGGAGCTGCACTTCAAGTATCTGGAGAAGGTGGAGGAGGTGGAGAGCAACGCCAAGGAGGAGGAGGACAGCGAGGAGTCGTATCTCAAGAGGCTCGAGGGGGGTCTGTTTACGCTGCAATTAGTCGATTATGTCCTGCTGGAGGCCTGCGCTGGCTGTCCTCCGGCTGTCAAGCAGAGGGTCACCAGGATATTGTCTCAGAGGAGGGCGTCCTTGAAGACTATCCGACATATTATGAGAGGTAGGCTGTGGGTGAGATTTTAAATATTGATTTTGGTTGACAGTTAAGTGGGTTTTCAATCCTCATTAGTCATTTTATTTGGCAATGGATTGGAAAAATAGATTGGTTTGCGATAATATTCATTTGAAAAATCATTTTTCAACGGTTAGATAGGTGAAAGAATTTATTATTCAATAAATATAAACATAATTAATAATATATAGGGGAGGTAGGGGCAAAGCGGACCCTCTAAGCGAATCGTTTAGTTTTTTAAATTCTAATGAGTCAATGCACTTCACGTGGAGATCATAATCTCATTAGAATTGCAATTAAGATCTGTCATTAAATTTAAAAAAAAATTAATGTTGGGGCAAAGTGGACCCTCTGTTTTTT